GTTAGGGTTTGGGGTTAGGGTTAGGATTGGGGGTTAGGGTTGGGGTTAGGGTTAGGATTGGGGGTTAGGGTTGGGGTTAGGGTTAGGTGGTGTTCCGGCGGTGTTCCGGCGGTGTTCCGGTGTTCCGGTAGTCAGTGCTTTAGTACATGCCGCAAAAAACCACCAAAACCATGAAAAATATATTCAAAAAAAAAATTATTTCCGACCTCCCGACCCTAATTTTTTCACGATAAGAAACCAGAACCACAGGTATTTTTTTTACGCCTATCGTTTAGAAAAGTGATTAATGCAATTTTCACTATTTGGTCCAAAACGATGTGCAATTTGCACATTGGTAATTCTGAACCCTGTTAAATCATACATGTGTAACAATATCTGACAATACCAAGAATAACATTTTAGAACAATCTAAAATTCATTGTCATTATCATCAGACTCTTCATCAAGTCCATTATCACTGTCAGTTCCAATCAATTCTGTGCATGCTTTCCATATTTTCACAATGGCATAATTCTGTGCATTGTAAATCCATTTTCTTACATAAGCACCTCTTGGTATTGCAGCCTTCCTGCACCATCACCAGATGGATATGGCTGGACCATAGAAGCAACTGATCTGGACATCAAATGGGGCCGATAATGGAAAGGGCTCCAGATAATAGTTGAAGTTGTCATATCAATGGATTTGGCCTGTCCGATTGTCTGTTGAGACTTGAGTTAAATGAACCTGTAAAAGTGTAAACCCAATAGGCCAATAAACAATATGCTTTTACTTTTATTAAATCATTGACATTGTGTCGTTTGAATCCGAGTACAATTTATGATGCAACTCCGATGTAAATAATATTTAGGACGTAAAGATTAAATCTAGGCAAGACTATTTCCTAAAAGAATTAAAAACTAAAAATAATGTTCGTAAAATTTCCAAACGTTCCTTGCAAGCAAGCTATTTGCATGACAAGGCACTGCAAACTCTATTCAGGGGAGATAATAGAGTTTCAAAACTTTACAGTTGGTCCAATAAACCAGTGAATGCAAGCGAGGAGCAATTAGTTTCAGAGTATTGCACTGTCTTTTTCTGTTTGAGTGTACTCCTACGTTTATTTTGTATCATCAACACTCTGCACGTTGGAGTGGACTATTTAATTATTTTTTTATTATGCCGAATATTGGGGGGGGGGAGGTCATTGAAAATTTTTTTTGAGGAGTGGATATTTTGTTTGGGGGGAGGGGGGTTATAGCCACAAAATCCGTCTATGGGGGAGATGCTCTCCTCGCCACACCTCCCCTCAAAATCTGGCTATGGAAAGTGGATTTACAATGCACAGAATTATGCCAGTGTGAAAATATGGAAAGCACAGAACTGATAGTGATATTGATACGTAAGACAAAAGGAATGGAATGTTGTGCTCGAGTGAGCAGTTGCTCATGGGGAGAAACCTCGACACAAAGAGCAGCTATAAAGGAGACAATGCTCGCCAGAATATTTTGAAAATAAAGTGCCCCAGATTGACCAAAATGCATATGCCATGCAACATTTGTTACATCACTCTATAATCTATACATTTATATACTATTGCACAATGAATGAAGATGGATGCATTTCTGAGCTCATTCCTACAGAACAGGTAACATTCTTTCTATTGGATACAAATTTTTGGTCCCGTGATATCTGATACTTTTTCCACCCCTGAACATGGGGGACCCAGGGGCCTGCTCCAGGCAGCGTCTTTATAGAATGTGTTAGCTGCGAATGCAAAAAGGCTTGTCGAACAAAAAGATGCTCAAGTTTGAAAGCAAATTTGAAGTGCACTGAACTTTGCCAATGCAGCAATTCTGAGAACAGTGAGATAGATGAAGAGCTAATTGACAATTGTTAGTAACTTTGATCACAGTGCTTTGATGAGGAGGCAGTGGTTGTGATGATGGTGAGATATTTGTGTAGTTTTACACGAAAAGAAAGCTAATGGCTATTAATTACTCTATAGTATACGGTATTAATAATAGTATTGTTTAAATAATTATGTATTTTATATATTCACTATAAAGGTCCATACAGACCGAACGCGATTCGACAACGCGACGCGAATTTTCAGTTTTTAAAAACAAATAAAACTGTCAACGGATAAAAATTTTACCAGATATGCACGGTTGTCTGGAAAACGCGTGCACGTACACGCGTACACGTACACGCGTACATGGAAAACGCGTACATGGAAAACGCGTACATGGAAAATGCGTACATGGAAAACGCGTACATGGAAAACGCGTACATGGAAAACGCGTACATGGAAAACGCGTACATGGAAAACGCGTACATGAAAAACGCGTACATGGAAAACGCGTACATGGAAAACGCGTACATGGAAAACGCGTACATGGAAAACGCGTACAATGTTTATTTGTAACGTTAATTAATTAAAACTTGGCGATTTTATTGGAAGTTCTCTTGCAGACCTAGTGATTGTGTCAATGATGGTCAGATCATGGCCTCCGTGAAGGACAACTTCACAGTGGACTACGTAATGTTTAGTACTTTCATTGTGTTCCAACATGCGTCCAGAAAAAGCAGCCGTATTTCCAACCACCTCACGCTATTATCCCATGCACGTAAGATAATGTCAATAATGTCAATTCTCCGCGATGAACATTGGAGATATATTAATCACCACATTCGGAAGCCTCGCAATCCAATAAAGAAACATTTTAAACTATGCACTGACGCTTACAGACTGATTATCTATTATTTTAAATTGTTAAGGTTTTCTTTAGCATATACTGTAGTTTATTTATCATTTATAGACCCGAAGCGAGAGGGATTCGGCGAAATATTACCCGAAGTGATGATATTTACGAAGGTAAAAGACAGCACTATAATAAGTTCAGAATAAACTTTAAAACTTGCTGAATATTAACTATAAAGCGAATACAATTTTTAATTTGTTATGTATACCTGTGTTTTGACGTTTTCTCTTTAAAATATTTGAGCATGTATTCTTTGGATTATTGAAGGTAACGTACGTCTTAAAAATTTTTGGTTACAGTAAATCAATAAATCTGCATGTACGCGCCTGTACGAAATTACAAACAACAGCTCGCGAATGCCATGTTCTTTAAGAGCGTGCATGGTATCCTTTCGTCGTGTGTGAGCGTGAGATACTATAATATCCACCACAGTGGATCTCACACTGCATTGCGAAATCATGAATTTGAGTGAAATACCGTAAAAAAACACATTGTCACGTGTTACGAATGCTGTTCTTTTATAGGACAATTTGAATTTGAGGTATAATATATTTTATTGCTTTTAGTTTACAGTTAACTATGTAGATTTTTGCTGAATCGTGCACCATAATTTATTTCAATACATCAAAAATAATCCTGCCTCACAACTTGTCCTGGCAAAGTAGGATCATATAAATGTGTTCAGCCCCTTATTCAGCGAATCCTGCATGCTGCCTGGCTTTGATCCCTTAGGGGCGAGGCAGCAATTTCTTTGCGATAGTAACTCCTAGTATATTTTATATATAGACAGTTAGGCTCTCTGGCTCTGTTGTCGGTTAGTTTGATCTCATCATGTTATGTCACCATGTCGTGCTACGGCATGTAAAGTTAGCCTAGTTTATACTTACGCCTAATTTAATAAGGGTTTGGGCCGGTCATGTCATGTCATCTCATGTCATGTTATGTTAATATGTTATGCTATATAAAATTACATTAGGTCGCCCTACATCGTCCACAGTTATATAAACTGTCCACAGTTGCTAATGGTGAGCAGACACTGTAGATGCTATA